AATACCTTCATACGCGACATGACGAACCCGGTTTCTCATGTTGAATCTCAACACCAAGGGCTTGGTAATGTCCCCTCCACACAGATTTTGGCGAATTTGCCCTGGGCAACCTGGCTTGTTGTATGGTCGGTGCTGACGATCCGGCCAACTTTGTTTCCGACTTTCCTTAGAAAGATCATACTATAATACTCCATTGGAAGGCATAAAATCCTCACCTAGACCAGCACCTTTTCAGTCGTATCCACGCAGGGGTCAAAATCCGGTTCCCATTCCTTAACGATCAAATAATGATCAAGGATCATCCACGGGCTTTCATATTTGGCGAATTCTAGATCATCGACCGATCCAAATTTCATGAGGAAATAGTTGTTATTCAGGGTGATCAACTCCAGGTTGCCTTTTGGTTTCCACATTGAGATGAGGCGACGCAGCAGGTATGCATACCCCACTTTCCGACCCAGCACCTTGATGATCAGCGTCGACCGCCATGGCGCTCTGATCATCTCCATCTCTTCCTTCATTAAGCGAATCGTTGGACACATCGGATCATCCTCACCATCACTAGTGTCTTCCTCCGTTGATCCATCCACCATGATGGATTCGTCCTCCTGTGCCTCCCGGCCAACAAAATCATATCCCGCCACCACCCTGCTGAAGGTTTGATTGGGCCACACAGCAACCGTCACCGCTGGTTGCATGGGCATGGTTTGCTCTGACGCAGAAGGCGACGTCTCAAACTGTCCTTCCATAGCCATCGCCATATCCTCTATGGGAGTCTCCTGGACGACTTCCACCGCCTCCGCCTCCCAAGGGGAGCCCTCATGCCCCGTAGATGCCTCGATCACCTCCATCGACGAGATCATGGCATCCGCTTCTCCCCTTTTGGATTTTTTCATGCTTTGTTCAAGCAGATCGAGATCTTCATAGGACCGTTGCCCAGCGAGCGTTTTCGAACTCATCGTTTCCTACCCACATGGATAAGATTCATTTATGTTTTATCCTATGTTATTTTAGTATTATTATTAAAAATTGCTAATTTTGTCTCAATAAAAAGAAAAGAAAGAAAAACTCAAACACCTGTGTTGAATGTTTTAATGTTGAATTTGTCGGTTGTGGTGAATAAATCCAATCACAATAACATTACTACCCCTTCCCCGACACAACAAAAATGGAAACAAACACCCACATACAATATCCGGCCAAAAATAATATAACGAATAAGAATCGCACCGTAACACATTGAACTCAATCTCAGGACACCATGAATCAAATATAAATAACCTATGCACAGACCATAAACCCATTACGCCCACACCGTAACACATTCAACTCAATCTTAGAAGATCATGAATCAAATAGAAATAACCCACGCACAGACCATAAACCCATTACGCCCACACCGTAATACATTCAACTCAATCTCATGACACCATGAATCAAATAGAAATAACCTACGCACAGACCATAAACCCATTACACCCACACCGTAACACATTCAACTCAATCTCAGGACACCATGAATCAAATAGAAATAACCTACGCACAGACCATAAACCCATTACGCCCACACCGTAACACATTCAACTCAATCTCAAGACACCATGAACCAAATAGAAATAACCTATACACAACCGTGGGAGGTGGCACGGGCGCTCCCACACCTTCAACACCTACGGACTCACCAGCAATGGTAACTAGAAACAACACCCACTAACTAAAAGAAAAACTAAAACACCATGACAAATAACAATACAAAACCAGAAACTAACAACACTTGGATGGAATCCAAAAAACACATACTATACTAGCAGACAACACAAACCCAAATTAGGGCCACAAATAAATCTAGCACCAATTCCAAACAGATATAGTTTACTATCCAATATCCAAAACAAAAGAAAAAAAAAAGCAGTTCTTTTTAAAACCAACAATAATAGAACAAATATAAAAAAAAAAAAAAAAAAAAAAAAAAAAAAAAAAAACCACACTAATAATTCAATTTCATGAAAACATAAAAATGTGGGGAAATAATTACGCACATACTCTAAACCCATGCCGCATACACGTAGAGTTAGACAACACACATGCCCAATGGACAAAGCAAACAGAAATTCACAAAAAAAAAAGAAAAACTCACGTGCTACAAGACAAAGCAGCTAGCTACACCCATACCCCAAAACTCAAAAATGCTAACAAACATCAGGCATGGACAAAAAAAAAAAAAAAAAAAAAAAAAAAAAAAAACACTGCATCTGCCAAAACCGTTAAAAGACAACCCACTAACAAACAAAAAACAACATACAAACAATACCCAATTTAAAATATATACAAAAAAAACAACTAAAACCAAAAATACAAATTCCAAGTCCATCCGAGCACAAAAAAGCCACTGAGCACCCAACACCTGTAACCCGGGAAAAACACACCAACCACAAGGCAACCCACACACCCACCACTCCCCCCTCCCACGCACACACATACGCTAAAAAACAACTCTTAAAAAAAAAACAAAACAAAAAAAAAAAATCCTACCATACCGCCCCTAAACGGTCACACCATTGGCCACCACCAAACCACACAATCGCCGAGCGCAATCCAGGAAAAACATCCCAACCACAAGCCAACGCATACACTTACCCCGCCCCACGCACACTAAACCGCTAAAAAAACTCTTTAAAAAAAAAAAAACCTTTTTTTATAGCTTGGTTTTTGTTTTTTTTTTTACGTAAAGCAATTTTGGTATGTGTATTTTAATTGTAACATGTTATGATCTATTAACTGTTGGTGTGTTGTTATTTTATATATTTATTTGGTGCTTTTTGTTGTTATGGTCTGTGCGATTGGGGTTTACAAGGGGTGTGTTTTTTTTTTTGGGTTTAAAATTTACACTGGATTCTAGTAGGTCTGACGTTTGTTCGGTTTAGTTTTTGGGCTTGTGCGTTGGGTTCTTAACTCAACGCACCGACTTAACTAAATGGCTGCACAGACAGAACATAACCCATAACACACTTCTATTAAGGTTTCACATACCTCTTTCCGGTTGCACCTTCATTGTTGAGGAGATATCCCACCGCAAAACACTATTGCTGAGTACAAATGTTTAAATACAACTCACACTCTATCAACAATAATTTATAACCGTAAATATATTATTCAACACCATAATTAGTTGATCCTTAGTATGGAATATATTCCAATCTATTCCTAACCATATATAGCTCTAATATTACAATTACTTATGCACCCTTATGCATAGACTACTACCATAGATGGAAAATAAATCTCTTTCAATTTCACCCTTTGATATGTTATGATTTAATGGATGAGATGATGCCCCATTATCTCGCCCATCTAAGTGACCTCATGGGATCCGAAACCTATATATATATATATATATATATATATATATATATATATATATATATATATATATATATATATATATATATATATATATATATATATATATATATATATATATAAAACGAGAAATGGTTTCTAATCTAAAGTTTTAATCCAATGAGAAGAAAAGAAAATTCGAGTCACGTGTACACACACTCTTCTTAAAATTGATTCGTCACCTTCCGATGGTGCTAGAAGCGTTGTGGCGTCAGTCTCCCAGAATAAAACGGACTACGACTTTCGCATTCGAGCACTCAAACCCAAAGCTCGGCGAACTAAAACACAAGCTGAGCACCCCGTACGATTTTATGGAATATGTTGGCAAGGTTTTTCCTTCAAGCAAAACAAGAGTTGAGAGGAAAATCAAGAATTTTGAGAGGTTCAAAATGGCATGTGATACAATCTGCCAACATCCAAGCTTTTTACCCGAGAAGGGAATTAAAAGCATAATCATGATACATAAACCAACATAAATTCAATTTAATAATTGGATAATAACGTTTGAAACTGTCATACTTATTATCGTAATAATATCAACGGCCACGAAATTGATATACAATTAATTCGTACCAACTATAATGACTTGTGTTAAAACACCTGAGTAACCGAAAAATTCATACAAACCAAAAGATTTTCAAAATTGAGACCGAAAAATCACACCAAAACGATGTAGCAAAAATTCACATGCACCGAGTTGATGCATTAACCCCAATTCCCAATTAACTTTTTAAAGCTTAATCGCCTCGTGAAGTGCGAGCTATACAAAGCATGCATTAACTCGGCTTCACGATAGTGAAGCAAATAGCACAATTTAAAACACGATGTGATTCGAGTCTTTTTTTGTGGTCAAAGGAAATCGTCACTTATGAGAAGTGAACCCAGGTTATTTCAAAATTTTCTCCCACAAAGAAAGTTCATTTGCCACTTAAGCCACTTTGTTAGGTTAGCTTAACAATTCATAATTAAGCATTCTAGCTTAATTAGCAACTTACACAATTTAATTATTTTTTTAATTCTCTCGAATAGGTTCATTTTGAGAATCAATTTCTCATTCACCTATTATCCATTTTAAACGTACAGTACATCAAATTCTCTGTCTCACTACGAATAGTGCAAATCTACTTTGACGACCCAAATCAGAAATGAACCCCACAAATATTTGCACCACAAAATAGCCACTGAAAAATGTTATTTTAGCTAAAAATTCCAACCGAATTAAAATTATATAGTTAAACAAATAGTGAGAGAGGTGAGAATCATGGCTTGGTAACTGAATACTATTTGGTAGCAGCAACATAAGGAATGCGACCCCAAACATTGCCGATGATTTGGGTTAGTTGTCAGAAGATAAAGTCATCGATCACACTCAGATCTGATCTGATGAAATAAAAATTCCATTTAAATACCAAACTACTTAGCTTCTTGCATCCTTGGATGTTTCTTTATACCTATGTGAAATTTTGCAGAGAATTGAATATAATCCTTCAGTTCTTCTTTTTATTTGGAAAACCCATAGTTTTATTGGAAGAAAAAGATCAGAGGAAACATTATAGTCTAGAATAATAAATTTGAATTTGTGGGACATTATGGGGTCAAGGATGTCGGACGCAGAGAGAGGGCGTGAAGTGTCGGAGCCTCTCATCGGCGATGAAGAGAGTGTGGGAATGGTTGTTTTCAGCACTATTGTCGCCGTCTGCGGTTCCTACTCATTCGGAACATGCGTGAGTTTTTGTTTTTTCCACCCCACACTTTATTAGTTCTTACTTCTTAGGTGGCATGCATGGCATGGGGTTAAATTTTGAAATTTGGAATCCAAATCAAATACTTTATAATCAAATTAATTCTTAGTGAGAGTATATATATATATATATATATATATATATATATATATATATATATATATATATATATATATATATAACATGATAAAGTGAAGTATCGCACATGTTTTACTCACTGATCTAATCAACAGTATTTGAAATAAGAGTTTAAGATTTAAAACTCGGCTCTCATAATATGAGGTCAAAATACGCCGATTCCTTATGCACACCGACATTTGGCGCTGCCAGTACACCCCTCCGCATATGGGGGGTCACGAATCCACAGTGGGAGTAGCTATATATATATATATATATATATATATATATATATATATAGTAGCTATATATATATATATATATATATATATATATATATATATATATATACACACTGTATGTATATGTCCCTTATATATATCCATAATAAACGTTTATATCTACTAAATATACTTAAATTTAAGCTAAGATTGAGCTAACTTAGATAGTAATGTATATTCTTTATATCTTAAATTAAATGTCAGGAGATCAAATCTCAAAGTATGAATTTTTAATCTTTCTCTCTCATTGGAAAAGATTTATAATGGGTGTTACTATTTGTACCACCTTCTAGTCAAAAGTAGGTGTAAATTATATTGAAATTGTAAAAATGTTAAAAAAAAAAAATTCAACAATTTTGTAAGTGGTGTAAATAGTCATAGGAGTGTTCATATTACAATTTGCACCACCTTAAAAAATAGAAAACCCCTCGCCTTCTCCGGTGAGAAGGCAGCCCAGTAGGGGTCGCCTTCTCGCCCGAGAAGGCAGCCCCTCATCGGGTGAGAAGGTGAGGTTTTTTTTTTTTTTTTAATAAATAATAAATATTTTTTTAAAAAATATAATGTTTGATGAAGGTGGTGCAAATAGCACTTTTCTATTTGGTATTTACACCACCTATATAGCTATCACACCTATTAAATGGGTGATGTAAATAGAATTTCCCTTTATGATTCGCCTTGATGTTGGGGATTTAATCTTTTGGGGCAAGATAAAGTGAAGTGGTCATACCCATTAGTTATCAAAAGTCTTAGACTTTATACATTTTCAAATTAGTTAATATAATCGACTAATATTTAAATAATTTCTTATTAATTATGTGGATTTAAATAAAGAATTTATTATATTATCCCCTATAAATTGGGGTTACGTTATGAGTGTTGTATTTGATGCAGGTAGCATATTCATCACCTGCCCAATATGAATTAATGTTGGATCTCAACCTTTCATATTCCCAGGTTTCCTTCCCACCATTTTTGTCTCTTTTGGAATTTGGTAGAGTGATATATACTCAATAACTCAAATGACAGTAGCATTTGTAATTCGAACAAAATATAATCTTGCTGGAGTATATGATTATACATTTATATGATCCCCTAATATTTGTTGGACAATATAAATTCATCTATTTTATCATTCTTTTTCTCAAGCATTTAATGCATTTTAATAAATATCTATAGAGCATTTGTTGGTACTTAGTGTTATTTAGTTTAGATTAGGGATCTCACTAGATAATAGCTGTTAGCGGATTGAGTTATTAGCTGGTTAGAAAGATTTTTGAAAAATTAACTGTTAGCTGATAGTTGATTACATGCAAAATGGCATTTAAGTAACAGTTAATAGTTTATTACATGCAAAATGATGTTTAAGTGTATAATTTTTTTTTTTTGAATTTTAATGTTTTGGAGAACTGTTATAAAAAGCTGATTAACCAAACAATCATATTGATTGTTTAACCAAATATAGTGATCAAACAAATTAAAATTGATTGAAATAAACTAACTATGTACCAAACAGGACTTATCTTACCTAATTTTTTTTTTTAATTTGTTATTAACTTTAGGAGAGATTGCCAAGCACCTTGTGCTCAGATGGCACCTGGGTTGGACTCCCATTTAAGAGGTTGTAAGTTCGAACCTGATATTACATTGTAATAGAGTCAATATTATTCAAAAAAACTTTAGGAGAGATTTGGTGACAGCGTATCACAATTTTTCTTTTGTCTTTTAATAATTAATCACTTATAAAGTATTTTGAATAATTGAGTGATTTAATTTTTGTACAAACATGTAGAAGCAGCATACTAATTTAAGTCAAATTGTACAATTATTATTGTGTGGACCATATATATTATCAAATAATGTATTTTTAATATATTAAAAATGTACATTGTATTCAAGAAAAAGTACATTATTTGAGTATTAAAAGTGTATTGTTTTGTATAATGTATATTCAATACATAAATAATGCATTTTTAGTATATTAAAACTGTATCCATTGGTTAAATTAAATAAAATTGCAGTATGCAGTTTTTGGATCCATTCTAACCATTGGTGCGATGCTTGGTGCAATTACTTCTGGGAGGATTGCGGATCTTTTAGGAAGGAAAGGGGTAACAATTTATTACAATGCTGCATTTATTTAATTCAGATTATTTGTTTGATTTTTTTTTTTAAAAATAAGTTAGATTCTCTTGTTTAATTTTTGAAGATGTGAAAATTGTTAAAGTAATGTAATGTTGGAAACTAAAACGTATGGTTTTGTATTTTTTTTTTTTTTTTTTTTTTTGTTACTAAAGAATCTTATTACCTCTAACACTTATATATTCTAGTTCTAAAGTTTGATATGGTCATGGAACAATTACTAGAAAATTTACTAGGTTTTGGCATTAATATTACTATCAACCACTGTTGTAAAAATCGGCATATGCGGTCGCCTAGGCGCTAGACGCCCCTAAGCCAGGGCAAATTACCCTCTAGGCGGCCAACCGCTTAGACGTACAACTCGGCCAAGTTGGCGGCGACCTTGGCTGAATTAACTTGTCCAATTCGGTTGAGTTCGCCGAGTAACTCGGCGAGTAGGCTTTACTAATTTTTTTAAAATTATATATATAGGGGAGCAATCTCGTGCGAATGGCCGCCCAGGTGCGAATATGCGAATCAATCAGCGCGCGCCACGTGTCAACATTCATTGATCGAGTGCACCTACTTTCACCTACAAGTGAATGTAATTTTGTCTTGTTAACATTCATTGATCATGTGCACCTACTTTCACATACAAGTGCACCTACTTTCACCTACAAGTGCACCTACTTTCACATAGGTCCACTTAGTTATTACTATTTGTGCACCTAGTTCTGGACACGTGGTGCGTGCTGATTGGTTCGCATATTCGCTCCTGGACGTGTCATTCGCACCCGAACGCGACTATATATATATATATATATATATATATATATATATATATATATATATATATATATATATATATAGACATCCACACAAGTGCACTATTTTCTTTTTATAGTTAGGCACTACTCTACCGTCCGCCTAGCGCATACTGCAAGTCTGCAACCATGCTATCAACATGTGCTATTTTGGTGGTTATTATCAAATAATTTTATGTTATGAGGCTCAAGAAGAAACAATTTTTTTTTTATTTATTTAAGTTGAATATTGGTGTAGACTTTTAGTGAAGAAAAAAATAAAGTTTAGATGGCAAAAAAAAAAAAAAAACAAAAAACAAAAAGCATATTATATGAGTTTGGTCCTCCTATTAGACATAGTTTCATACCTATTTGTATTCACCACTATTTCCTTTCGTAATATGAGTCTATTCTTTTTCAAAAAAAAAAAAAAAAAAAAAAAAAAAAAAAAAAAAAGATGGCAAAGTACCAAAAATAACAGAGTATAGACTATAGATGACAACGTTTTGAAAACCACATTATAAATGGCAAATTTATAGGGATAAATCTTGTGTTAAATTAGATGATAATTTATCATGATTTCTCTTCTCATAATCTTCGAGTGAGCATCTATAGAAAGCGTGAAGCTGATACTCTTTGCGAATGTTCGTTGTTGGTTCTATACAACCTAAACTTGTTTAGTTTTATTTATATCTTTCCAATCTCTTTGTAATTTGTATATTAAAAAAAAAGTAAAATTAATTACTTTTACTTTGTTTTTATTAATACTTTCTTCTTGAGCAGGCCATGTGGTTGTCAGCTATAGTTTGCATAATTGGATGGGTGGCAATCTACTGGGCTTGGGTATGTCTGATCTCCTCTCACAGCCCCATTTTTTCTTGAAGATAATATTTCATAATAAGAAATGGTTTACTAATTTTTTTTTTATTATTTGACATAATTTTGTATAATTAATTTATGATACAAGTCAATAATTGAAAGGAATTAATTAACAAATAATATAAACCTAATGTTTTTTTTAGTACTACTAACTTTGTTACAATGTAGTATCAGTTCATATATACTTTCTCAACCTATTGAAGCATAAACTTCTCATTTGAAATAGTCACTTTATGCCACATGACCACAAGGTTATTGGCAAGCCTAATTGGTGATACTCTGTAAAATTTACCTATGACAACATATATTAAAGACAATTTTAAAAAGCCAAGCATCTTGTATTCAGATGGTATGTACTGACTCTTTCATGTAGAAGGTCATGAGATCGAGCTTTCGTAGAGGCGGTGTTGATTCTATGTGCTTCAGCAACACTGTAATACAGTCAATATCATTAAAAAAACCGCCATTTTCCTCATCTTTTATTTTAGATGAAAATAATTATAGATTTTTAATTACATTTTATCGGTGTTGCAAAAATCGGACCTAGGCACCAATTAATCGCTCTAGGCGTTCTAGACGGTCCCCAGGTGCCTAGCGATTTTTTCAAACCCTGCATTTTATTTTTGTTGAGGCAAAATGGTAGAACTTTTTGGTACTTGATATGGTTAGATATAAAATTAGTTGGTGTAATAACGTTATGAATGTTGTTTCATTGAAGGGAACTATATCCTTATACGTGGGCAGATGCTTAACAGGATACGCCATTGGGATTTTTTCATATGCGGTATTCTTTTCTCCAATTTTAATTTATGTATGTATTTTTTTTTATTTTATAAATGCTCTTAATTCTTTTTTTTTTTTGGTGAGAATAAATGCACTTAATTCTAGATTTTAGAATAATGCTGCTAATTAATGTGATTGGAACAATTTGATCGATATAACATTTAACATTATAATTTAAAGTTAAAGACAGACGTTACTTGAACACAAAATTTTAGACGTCTTTTACCCCTTCATTTGACTTTTAAATGAAACAATTGGAGTGGTGGATGCTCTGATCACTCTAATTGCTCTCTTGAATGCTCCTTAAGAAATACTTTTTAAGTATAAAATGCGTGTGCACGCATATGTCCAAAATTCAAAACGTTTAATGGCACCAAGGTTGGACTTCTATAGGAGGTTGTGGGTTCGAACCTCAGTGCTTCAGTAGGCTAAGAAAGTAATAGAATCAGTAGCATTCAAAAAAAAAGTTATATAGGTCATTGCATTTAAATTAGGTGTATCATAAATAAAGTCAATTGATTTGTTTAGCAAAATTTATTTAAGAGTTTATAACTTATTTAAATTACAAATTTTATTTAGTAAAGAAATGATAATTTAAAATAATAGATTATTTGGAAATGTTATTTTTATGATTTTTAAAAATTAGCTAGTAATATTTCAAAATAAGATTCTAATTTAGAATTATTTTTTTTATTCCTCTCCTATCATCATCATCATTAAATTCTAAACCTCTCTGGTTTCTTTCCGGCCTCTTTTCCCCACACAACTATCACCCTTCAAGGCTTCAATTGTTTTTTTTTTTTTTTTTTTTTTTTTTTTTCACTTAACAAAACACTCACATATATATGTATTATTTTTCAAAAAAGAATTATTATTATTATTATTATTATTATTATTATTATTATTATTATTATTATTAAAGAACTAATTAATATGCATACATATTATTAATTACATTAATATTAATTAAATACATATAAATTTAGTTATAATAATAATAATAATAATAATAACAGTAATAGTATCTGTTGTATGTAATATATTTCAAAAATATTTTGTAAGTATAGTTCATTGAAAATAGATATAAACAATTATTTAAAATTTTTAAAAATGTTATTAATATAATACGAAAAAATTCTAATTCTTTTCAAACATTGAACATTTGAACACCACAATATCTTATAATATCTTCTAATGTTATATTATATATATATATATATATATATATATATATATATATATATATATATATATATAATTGTGTTTGCGTGCGGTAGGCCTTCCCATGTGCGGTTGTGCAGTTAAATCTAAGCCATTGATATTGCATAAATCAACGTCGAGGATTAACACTGATTAAAAAACGTGCGGTGGCAATTTGGTCTTTCTGTATCTAGGTCAAATTTAAGGTGCGTGGTTTTCTTTTTTTAAGATGCGCGGTTTTCCTTCCTAAGGTGCGTGATTTTTTTTTCTTAAGGTGAGTGATTTTTGTACTGTGTGGTTTAAGGCGCGTCAAGTGTTGAAAATTTAAGTGCGTCAATCTAAAGCTTTAGGTGCGTGGTTTGTGTTCTTAAGGTGCGTGGTTTGTGTTCTTAAGGTGCGTCGGCCTAAAGTTTTAGGTGCGTAGTTTTCCTTCTTAAGGTGTGTGTTTTGTATGCTTATGGTGCGTCAGTTGTTGAAACTTAAGGTCCGCCATTTTAAAACTTTAGGTGCGTGGTTTGTGTTCTTAAGGTGTTTTGTTTGTGTGCTTAAGGTACGTGGTTTGTGTACTTAAGGTGCGTCATTTTAAAACTTTTAGGTGCGTGGTTTGTGTTCTAAGGTGCATTATTTGTGTGCTTAAGATGCATTATTTGTGTGCGTAAGGCGCGCCATTTTAATGCATAAGGTGCATCTTTTTGTGTTAACCGCACAGGAAGCTATATTCGCACCTGAACACACACACACACACACACAACACCATCCATCTTGAGAAATCAAACGTTATGATCTTATTATTACTAAATTTTCAAGTTTTCAATAATTATAAAATTGACATAATGTTCTTTTTGTCAAGCATTTTCATGTGCACCATAGACAAGCACTTTGTGGTACACCATAAACCAACACTTCGTATACCACATACCACTACTAAGTGCACCATAGGCCAACACTTAGTGCACCACAAACCAACACTTAGTACAGCACAAAAATATATTTGGTGCAAGAAATTACAAAAGAGTCACTGTATTTGCTTTTTATTTTTTTTTTATTTTTATTTTTTTTTTATTAATTTTTATTGATTTACAACCGTTGATTTAAGCTCATTCAATAATGAAAAGTTAAGATTCATACTTAATTAATCTTTGAAGATTTTTTAATTTTAATTTATCACAAATTTCGTTAGTGGGTATATGAGTACAAGAATTTTGCAAAAAGTACTCTGTTTCGTGTACAGGTAATGACTGCATTACCCCTCTGATCTCCAGATTCCCGTATATATTGGAGAGATTACACCGAGTAAACTGCGAGGATTACTGTCATCTATAAATCAGGTAAGAAATGCTTTGTTTTCACAAAATGCTCATCACATGCAAATATTTACTCTCTTAACAAAATGGTAATTTCGTCTTTTAATTCAATAGTTGGTAAATGGTCAATCCATTTTCTCAATTATATGTGATCATATTTTGTTGGAATAAGGGTCAAATAGGCCATCGAACTGCATACAATAAAACAATTAGGCCACTGAACTTTAAAAACCAACAATTAGGTCCCTGAACTAATCAAATTCAAACAATTCTTTCAATTTGAAGGTTTCCAACAGGTCAACATGTCATCCTTTCAAATTAATTATTTTTTAAATTTTAAATTTTAAAAATTAATTATTTAAAAAAAAAAAAAAAAAAAAAAAACTAGTTCCTGCCGGAGACGGAGGATTCCAGTTTTTTTTTTTTTTTTTTAAATTTAAAAATAATTAATTTTTAATTTTTTTTAAAAAAATAATTAATTTGGGAGATGACCTGTTGACCTGTTGGAAACCTTCAAATGGAAAGAATTGTTTGAAATTGATTAGTTTAGGGACCTAATTGTTGGTTTTTTAGGTTCAGTGGCCTAATTGTTGTATTGTGTGCAGTTCGATGGCCTATTTGACCCTTATTCCTATTTTGTTTCTAAGTTTCAAGTCGATAAATTGGTGGTTAAGAGGATTGTTGACCGGAGACCGGTACGGTGAACGGTTAAGTTCAACACCCTGTCTCTCGAAAATGTGATGATGGTCTATAAAGAAATAAATTTACGTCTTCACTATTAGCTATAACTTTTAGCGTAGTAATAAATGTTTGATCTTAACAGTTTTAAATGTTAGATACTAAAAAAATTACTCCGTACTTTTTAGTGTTAATTTCAAAATTTTAAAAATTACATTGAAAAGTTAAGATTTTGACTAGCATTTAATAGTCAATGTAGTAATACCAGTCTTTCTAAAAGGTTGAATCCCCAACACCAGTCTGACAGAGCATCTGGGAGGATGTAAATCAACTGAACCACAGAGGCTAGACCTTTGCTTACTGCGCATAAAAAGTCTCCTCACTTTGAGAGATTGCTCCTACACTGCTGCTGATAAGACTCGATTCTTGATCATTCTTCCCAAACTTCATCCCTATGACCAGTTGAGCTGTCTATGCGAGCGGTGTAGTAATACCATTGGTCCAGGGGAGAGCTGACCTCAAATAAGACTTGACTAAACATTGTTGAATTAGTCACATTCCACGAGATACATCCAGATTCTAGTGTAATACATTCAATAATTAGCATTGAGTTAATACTCAAAATTGTCCTCGACTATAGTGATTTTTTTCAATTTCGTCCTAAACGACTTTGGTGACCTAATATCGTCCCAGACTTTTGTGTTTCGCTCAATTTAGTCCTCCATTTGTTATTCCGTCAAATTTGTGTTAAATTTAGGGACAATTCAGTAATGTCAATATTGATCTCTCTTTACTTTCAACTTGTGAAGTGCGAAATTCCTCTTTTTTAGGAGTAATTTTGGGACTAATTCGTAAAAAAAAAAAAAAAAGGGATTTCGCAGTTCACATGTCTATGAGTAAAGAGATGCCAATATTAAAATTACTTAATTGTCTATTTATTTAATACCAAATGGATAGAATAACAAATGAGGGACTAAATTGAGCAAAAACGCAAAAGTATGGGACGAAATTGAGCGAAACATAAAAGTTTGGGACGATATTAGGTCACCAAAGTCATTTAGGACGAAATTGAAAAAAACCACTATAGTCGAGGACGATTTTGGGTATTAACTCAATTAGCATTTAATCACATTGAGGAGTGATGATTGATTATGCCACAACCTTGACAATTCAAGAACAAAATGTGTTAACCATATAATTGAGAGACTAAATTAACTATTTGTCTACAATTGGAGAATCAAAACTATTATTTTTCTTTTTATTCTATTGAGGATATTATCAAAATACTTTTTTTTTTTTTTTTTACTTTCATTTTTAGGAGATATTGGAGTAAAAGATATCGACTAATTTTAACACACATAAATACAGAATTTTCTCGAAATGTTTTGTAGCTGTTGATCGTTATTGGGCTGTCTGCGACATACGTCATCGGTGCCTTTCTGTCATGGAGGTTACTAGCTTTAACAGGTCACCTCTGATTTTTAGTAACCATATTTTTCAATTGGTTTTTAGTAAAGTTCTAAACCATTTAAACCGGTTGAAATCGTAAAAATAACAAAAAAAAATATGAAAAAAAAATGACTTTACTAAAAAATAGGAAAAGTCATAAAAAGGACTAAAATTGTCCAACAAATAATAGTCTATGATGTTAAATGACAAAAATGATCGTCTGTGATTAAATTTGAAATTATCAACAAAGACAATGAACCTCTGGTGAAATTAACTCATAGAATGATCTAACTTGCTAACATTTAATTTGCAGGACTTATACCATGTGGAATATTGTGTATTGGTCTCTTTTTTATTCCGGAGTCTCCAAGATGGCTGGTAAAATCTATCTATAACATATATATATATATATATATATATATATATATATATATATATATATATATAGCACGTACTATTTATTACGACTTTCATTCATTTTATTTTTTCAAAGAAAAGAAAAAATTATAAATTAATTTTTTTTTTTGTGGGTACTACTAACTTTGTTATAATGTAGTATCTATTCATAGTTACTTTCTCAACTTATTAAAGCACAATTTTTTATTTTTTATTTTTTTTGAAAAGGTAACATTATAATGGCCCGGCATGACAAACATATTTTTATATTACCATTCAAATATTATTAATATGATGCACCTAATTAAGTTTATATATTTATATTTATTTATAAGCAAATAACATTATTATTATTATTATTATTATTATTATTATTATTATTATTATTATTATTATTATTATTATTATTATTATTATTTATGTACACTTTTTCCACAGGCTATGAAAGGACGTGCTCAAGAATTTGATGCTGCTCTGAGAAAGCTTCGAGGACCACACGCTGATATATCTGAAGAAGAGACCGCCATACAAGTAATTAATTAATGATGTTTTCTTCACATATTTCATCTGACCTGTGTTTGTATGGGTTGTTGGTGTTAGGATTCAATAATTAAATATAAGCTATATGGAAAAGGGAATCATCAAAGAAGTAATGAATTGAAGATGTAAGTTTTGTTGTGTTATGTTGGGCGGGTCGGTAAAAGAGTCGTGTCTAGTACTCGATGACTGAGGAATTGTTGGGCAGAGGCCGGTAAAGTCTCTAAGGGTCAAGTCCTCACCCAGCATGTCTCGAACTAACAAAAGTTACGTCTTCGCTACTAGTTATAGCTTTTGGTGTAAGGACAGCACACAGCTTGTCTCGAACGATATGATGACGGTCTATAAGTAAGGAAAACTGTGATGGCGGTTTATGAGTAAGGAAATAAGTTAGTTGTGCCTTCGCTACTAGTAGTTAACATGTTATGTGCTTTCAGTTATTAAATTATGTGTCTGTAAATAAATTAAAAGTACATAATATGTTAACTACAGACACATAATATGTTAACTACAATTGTACATAATATGTTAACCGCATAATATGCAGTTAATATAGTATGTGAAAGCACATAATATATTAACGGCAGACACATAATCTGAATATCGTTCATAATGTAAGGTGGACCTAGCTGGTCGTTGGTCATTGTATAATTTGCCTATTAAATTAGGAGGGAGAAATTTCTCATCTTCTGCATCTATTTATTTCTCCTAACTTTACAACATAATTAATTAGACTTTGATTGAAATTTTCGATATTATCATATGTTTTGATAGACGTCCCTGGACGTGCTTAATGGACTTCCCAAAGCTACGATATTAACCATGTTTGATGAGAACAATATTCGTGCTGTTATTGTAAGCACATTTCCTTCCCTCACCTCATTCTTTTATTTTTTTTTTCAGTTATTAATCTAATTATTAATTTTGTATATTTAATTTATTTGTACTATATTAGATTTCAGTAGGGTTGATGGCAATCCAGCAACTTGGGGGAATTAATGGAATCATATTTTACTCAGAACATATCTTTACGGCTGCAGGTAGGTTATTAATTTTGTAAGTATACCTGCACGGACTTAACTCACTAGTTCAGTAGACAGTATTTTGAAGAAGAGATTAGGGTTTGAACTTCGACTGTGAGGAAAGAAACTGTGTCTTTATTGATGTAAAGTATGAGTTATATATAGTACATAGAGAAGAATAAATAGAAGGAAGTTACCACAACTACTCAACAGAACTATTCTACAGGAATATAAATATAACAAATAATAACTGAATCAAATATTAGCCACACATAGGCTTAACATCCACGACGGTAGTATGGAGATTATGCGCAAAGTGGGTAGATCCCTTGTGCGCACCCTGTCTGCTGAATCATTGAGTCACCATGATTTATATCCTTCCAAATATTCTATCAGGCCGGAGTGTGGGCCCTTGGGTTGGGGATAACCTTTAGGACATACAACTTCAAATATGTAAACTAATTGGAGTATATATGGGGCTTGCCAATTTGTTTCATCAGGTTTCAATCCTAGTCTTGGAAGCATTCTCTTCTCTCTTTTGCAGGTAATTTTAATTTCTAGTTGTCTAGTCTACTAAGGTCCGTTTAGATATACATTTTAAGTAATTTTTAGAAAAATGATTAGTTTTCTTTAAAAAATATTTTCATTTTCTGATATTTGGTTGAAATTTAGAAAATATTCTTTTTTGGTTCGGTTCATTTTTTTTTTAAAATATACTTTCGCCGTTAACAACGTTTGTCTTCAGGAAGTCTATGTTCATAATTTTTGAACTCCATATTCACAATTATTAAACTCTATATTCACAATTACAGAACTCTATGTTCATAATTATAGAACTCTATGTTCATAATTTTTTTAACTCTAGAAGTCTATGTTTATAATTACTGAACTCTATATGTTCATAATTTTTGAATTCTATATTCACAATTACAGAACTCTTTGTTCATAATTATAGAACTCTATATTCATAATTATAGAACTCTATGTTCATAATTTTTGAACTCCATATTCACAATTATTGAACTCTATATTCACAATTACAGAATTCTATATTCATAATTATAGAACTCTATGTTTATAATTTTTGAACTCTATATTCATAATTCTTGAACTCTATATTCACAACTGCAGAACTCTATATTCATAATTACATAACAGTATATTCACAATTTTTTGTCGTTGAATTCTTTTGACAATTTTTTTTTAATAAAAAAAATATGATTGGTGGAGAAAAAACGGTGCCACTAAGACACTATTACTCCCGAATTGCAGAACGACGTCGTATTGGACCCGTGTTCACCTTGCAAGGTGGACACGGGTCCATGGCATAACAGTCCACATTGTACCATCCCAAAGTGAATGAGAAAAATTTGGAGTTTGTACCGAATACTTTGGATCCTGGTCTAAAATAACATTCAAATTATGTGTTTGCAGTTGACAGATTATGTACTTGCAATTAACAATTTATGCGTCTATAAATAAATTGAAGTCACATAACATATTAACTACAGACACATAAAAAGGTAACTTTAAACACATAAATGATTAACTGCAGGTACAAAATATGTTAACTGCATACACATAATATATTGTTAATATATTATGTGTTTGAGTTAACATATTATGTACATATAGTTAATAGTTTATGCGTCTGTAGTTAACATTTTATATGTATGTAGTTAGCAATTTATGTATATTCAATTTATTTACATGCACAAAAATAGTTAATGTATATAATATATCAATTGTAGATACATAATACAAGATGGACCCACTATAGGCTTATATCTGATTCAAGCAATACTAGTGTCGATCGACATCACATACTTTTCTCTTTTTCCTCAACCTGTTAAAGCACAAAGAGTTAATATCACCCCCTACTAAGGCTCGAATGCATGACCACAAGGTCATTGTTGGACTTATAATAACAATAACAATTAAAGAATATTTAACAAAATATATTATTTTTCATCAAAAAGAAATAAAAAAATGAAACTAAGCTTATTTTTTTTATATATAGGTTGTGCTGACCGCATTGGGCGCATTCCTAATGGACAGAGCTGGTAGAAGAAGCCTTCTCTTGGTAAATAAATGCAGAAAGCAAAAAACATTACTAATCACTGTTTTTTATTATTATTATTATTATTATTATTATTAATATTATTATTATTATTATTATTATTATTATTATTATTATTATTATTATTATTATTATTATTATTATTTTCAAAATTTGAAAAAAAAATTACATATAAAAACAAAATATTTCCAAACATTATATTTTGTTTATTAATTTATTCTATTTCTTTTGGTTAGTTTATTTATTTTGTGTTTTCAGTTGTCTTCATCTGGCTTGCTATTGGGAAATCTACTTATTGCATTCTCATTCCTTCTTCAGGTTTGCATGAATTAGTTTCGACTCACAAAAGATAAGATTTTTGAACATATACCTCAATTTATAATAAATTGACATATTAATTTTTTAATTGAAATAATTAATTGATTTTCTCTGTCCAATTTAATATGTTATGACCATAAACCTCTACCTTTATAATAATTTTTTAATTTTATTTTCCGATGATATGATCTATATTTTTTTTAATTAGTGAAAATTTTTTCTTGTTGGTTTTCAAAAACCAGGACAAAGGATATGCTCTAGACTTGGTCCCCGACATGGCCATTGGAGGTGTTCTTGTAAGAGCATCTACATTAGAAATTTTTTCTTAATTTTTTTGTTGAGTTGGAGGTAAGAGATGATAATTTGGAGAAAAGAGTAGAGAAGAGAGATAAGAAATTATATTTGCAAGATGTATATCTTTTGTGGGACCCGGAAGAGAGAGAAAAGGAAAAATGTTTCCCATGTGTGCTGAGCGTAGGCACGCCCTCTGGGTGCGCGTAATGCACGTGTCCTCTGGACGTGTAAATCCCAAATTTAATAGTACATTTTTTTATTTTGACAATCTGATTTATCCATTTTTTTTTTTCCTCTTCCCTTCTATCTTTTCTTTCTTAGTAATATTTGCAAAAACTTCTCAAAAACTACAACAATTGATGCTCTAAGCCCAAAAATTGGGCTTTTGGTTATTTATTTTAAAATCTTATTTTCTCTTCCCTCCTATTTTTTCTTTTTAACAAAATCTCTTCTTTTTTCCCCTAAATTTCTATCTGCATGTTGACCAGGTTTACATAGCTGCTTTCTCAATGGGGATGGGAGCAGTTCCTTGGATCATTATGAGTGAGGTAATTAAAGAATGCATCTATTGAATTTATAGAGTTTAAATAAAATATGAAGTGTGTACATATATATGGTGTGGTCTAGTTGTCATGAGAACAAAGATATCCATGAGAAATATGGACAATAGTTGCTACTATCGATCTAATAGTTGAAAAACAAAAGGGGAAAAAAGTGTGGAGTCAAATTTTAAAAGTTTGTAATATTTATGAAACTGACCTACTATTTCTTTTTTTTTTTATTTTCTAGTCATTCATCATCTAAGATAGATGGATGTGATTTCTTCGCACGTTCTCATGGGAAGCATAGTCTCATTTGAGTGTGTGTGTGTGTGTGTGTGTGTGTGTATGTATGTGTGTGTGTGTGTGTGTGTTCAAATGAGGACAAGTATATTATAGAGGACTGTGATGACAGATGTAGTGTGTGCCATTAGTCGGTATGTTGTGTGCATGGCCGAGTGTAGTCGTGTGCCACAGTTTGTATGTCGCGTGCTAGATTTGTTAATTTTTAGAGTCTAGGTTCGAAACCTGATGTTTACATTTATTCTTATGTGCCTGGTATTAATTCATTGCGTGCCTATTATTTGTCCAAACAATCCTCTATATATTGTTGTCATCATTTGAACTCAACTCTATATATATATATATATATATATATATATATATATATATATATATATATATAAAAGCAAATCTAAAAATTTAGAGCAAGGAGAGGAAAAAAAAATTGTGTTGACATCTTGGTAATTTTATCTAACTTTAATTTAAAAGTATATTTTCACTATACGGTGCACTTTGCAACACTATACTGTATATTTTGGTCATTTTGTAATTGCAGTGCACTTTAGAATTCACCTTTTAGATCGAGTTTATAGTTTATATTTTTTTGTTTGGTTTAGTGTTTAGCATTTTATAGGTTGGGTTCGTTAGATGTTCACTTTTTTAAGGCTTAGGGTTTTTACAATTTAGGTTTAAGATTTAATTTTTTGATTTAGGTTTTAAGACATAGTAAAAAATGCACTCTATACGATTAAAAATTACACTCTATTGCGTTGAACATTGAACTTTTAAATTTAAAGAAAATTACTAGAATGACGCCAAATATTATTTCCTCAAATTGTATAAGACACATTAGATTTTTTCCGAATGAACGGCTGTGATTAGTTCTTAATTTTTTCATAGGAACTGGTTCTCATGTGAGTATGCCCTTATATATAAATAAAGGTTAGGAAAATTTTAAAGTGTCGATCGATACTCCTGACTCGATCTTATGCTAAACCCTAAACCCAAACTAAATGGTAAAGGTTTTGAGTTTGTACCGGTATGAAGTTAACATTCCCTACCGTTTTAAACTTTGAGTATATATAGAAGGACAATGCCGATCAGTACCATAACTTTCCCAAATATATACTTAAATGTAAAATTAAAATTCATCCATAAAACTGATGAATATTTGGACATATATATGCTAGTATAGGATTTTGATTGTAATTTAGTGATATAAGTTATATTGATGATGAATATAATGTGTGAAAATTGGTTTGTTGTTGCAGGTGTTCCCTTTACATGTAAAGGGAATAGGTGGAGCTATGGTGACTCTGATGAACTGGATCACAACTTGGGCCGTTTCTTTCTCCTTTACCTTTCTCATGCTGTGGAGTACATATGGTATGCCAATACACTTATTTTATCTAAGGGTGTGTTTGGTTCGCACATGGAAATTAGAATAAGAATGGAATTAAATACTTGGTAATGGTAATGAGTTTTGGAGAAAGTATTTTGCATGTTTGGTAGTAGGGTGGAATTTGAATGATTATCAGTATTGCTGTTTGGTTATGTATGATCCTATAATGGGAATAAAAGTTTGAAAAACACAAGAACAAAAAATAAGACATGCAATTTATTATAATATAGAGATCAGACATCCAAAGTACCAATATGAACAAAAACGTAACAAACAAAAAATAAAAATAAAAATGTAAAAGCACTAATCCAAACTTAAAAAGCAAATTAACAATTAAGAGGACAAATAATGGAATGAAGCGCTTATTTTATTAGAGAATATGTTTTATAATTAACACTACTAGAAATTATGAAATTTCCGACCACCTGAAAGTGATCTTAAATCAAGTTGATACTAAAAAGTGGTCGGAAATAGCAACAAAGGTTTTTCCGGATACCAAAAGTGATCGAAACAAGGCTTTCGACTTGATTTAAGATCACTTTCAGGTGGTCGGAAATTCCATAATTTCCAGTAGTGTAAGGGGGTAATCAAATCTCATAGTACTCTAGAAACCTGTCAACCAAACAATAACAATGACTTTGATTCTCATTCCTGATAGCTAAACTCATGAACCAAACACACCCTAAGAGTTTTAAGTAGTATGTTATATGTTAAGATAGGATTTGGGTAAACCATACAGCATATATGCATTAAACATTATAACAAAAAGAGACTAAGTATATGCATGCATGCCTTATGGTGTATATCTAATAATATTTGGGAAAATACTAGCTTATTATACAAAATTTCATTTTATTTTCACAAATAAGACATTTACTTTAAAAACTACTTTTAACTTTATTGCAATCGATGTGCTGGAATAACATCCATCCTATACTATGCTATTGTTTTTAAGGTACATTTTTAATCTTTGCGGCTGTTTGTGCACTGGGAATTGTGTTCATATACAAAATGGTTCCAGAAACAAAAGGCAGAACTCTTGAAGAGATTCACGCTTCACTCAATTCATAAGCTAAGAATTACGATGGAGAGGGATCATATGGAATTGAAGGAGCAAATTAAAGCAAGCTAAGCCAGCCAGAAAAATTGAAGACATGGTTGGATTGCAAGTTAGTTTGCAGGCCTTTAGCTCGTGAAGAACAGTAAGAACGAGAATAAGAGTAGAAAGATGAGGGAGAAAAGGAGGATAGATCCATTCATCATCATCCATCATAGTACAATGATATATATACAAGATACACTAAAGGCATACAATAATGAAGGATAATTACATCCGTTACAGACGTTACAAAGCTACTATATTAATGTCCACCATAAGTTTTATTTATAACACTCCCCCTTGGACATTATTTGATCATGATCTTGCCTCATTAAAAACTTTCTAGGAAAACCCTGTGGGAAAAACCTAGACAAGAAAAGAGTACAATAGAAAATATATTCATGCCTCATTAAAAACTTCACTAGGAAAACCACGTGGGAAAAACCTAGTTGAAGAAAAGAGTACATGATATATATAAAAACATATATTGTATTTGGTCGCCTCATTAAAAACCTTAACTTAAGAAAACCCTGTGGGAAAAACTTAGTTAAGGGAAAAAGAGTACAACCATAAGCCTTCAGGGCGCAAACCGCATAATCTTCAGGATTTTGGGGTTTGTCCATTTAAGCAATTATTTTGCAACTTTTCCTCATTGTCATTACTATATCATACTCATGCCTTGTTAAAAAACCACACTAGAAAACCCAATGGGAGAAAACTAGTGAGGAAAAAAGTACATGATATTTATGTATTTATGTGTTGCAAATAGTGCGCAATTGTTAGTCTTTTATGACTTAATCTTAAGGATTTTACGTTCAATGTTCAATCTTCCGGATTGATTCGAGTAAATGTACTTCCAGTCTCCCCCTGAAGATAACAATCTTCAAGTTCTACATATATTTCAAATTTTGAAGAGATGGATTGGACAAATCTTCTGGATTGTCACTTAGAGTAGTGTACAATAATCTTATGGCTCTTCTAGAGCTAATATAACATTTGTGCAACACAAGTGTTATTGTCCTCATTTTGAACATTTAGGGAAATTCATTGTATAACCAGTTTGGACTTGGCATTGCGGTGATCAAACAAAACAGCCAGTACCCAAGTAGCCTATTAAAACCGTATCATGGTTTCTTACATAAATGTCATGTCTTTGTATCTCGAAGATACCGGAGGATATGTTAATCATTATTCAAGTACTTCATTTGTAGGGGGAGCACTAGATTTTGCTAGCAATTTTATCGCAAATATGTTGCGGTTATGGAACTTCTGGTTCTATAATGGTGCTCCAATGATAATGAAGTAAGGGACTTCGAGTCCAAAAAGGTTCCTTATCTACTTCAAGAGATTATTAGGCAACCTTTAGTTTGATAAAAACATGACACTTATATGCATATAGACATATGAAAAAGCATTTTTAGATGTAGGCTGACTGGTGTATATAAAAAAAACTGTAAAGAAAAACTCGATCTTCAAGTCGAGATAATACTTATAGCTTTCACAAGCTTTTGTTTCAAAAGTCTCAGTCTTTAAACATGAACTGACATCATCAAGCTCTTTATATCTTTCATTGATGTTTACACCATCAATCTTGACTGAGATAATAAATAATAAATAAGTTCATTATCAACCCTTTATCGAGCACACAATGGTACATATTATTCCTTCAATGAGGATATTAACTCCATTCGCAACCCTTTAAAGAGTAGATAATGACACATAATAATACTTAAAAATGAGAATTATGAATCCATCAGGGATTTCTCAAGATAAATTTAACTGCATATCTAAATTTATTATTCTGCCAATTGTATTATGTAGCGGAACTTAATGCCATTTACCGTGGGAGATTATATTTGATTAAAATCAATTAAGGGTCTCTGCGTGAACCCATAGGCTACAAACTCGCTTTATCACCTCATTATTCTTATTTCTCTTTCATGCACACACCCATTTGTAACCTTCAGGGTTAACACTCAAATGGTGTATTGTTATAAAGAGAATTTATTCATTTTAGCGAGTCGAGCTATGCCTTAATTGCTCCTTTATATATTAAATAGTCATGGCACTTCTGGTGCTTAACTCTGGATCCAGATTATATAACGAGCAATTTGTAATGGCAATTGTGTTGTCGACAACTATAACCTTTTTTGTAAAACTCCCATATTTGTAAAAGTAATGGCAATTTCTAAAACAACCAGATTCTAAACATTTCCCAAAGATATTTTGATCTGGTCGTTCCGCATCCCTAGTATTACGTTTGTTTGGTGCACCTATAAGTCTTACCAGGGTTTTTCGTCATCTGGACGAACGTCTGCAGGACATAATTATTCAAACTATTTCAAGAGTGACAATATTTCTTTACTAGATCTAGTATTATGATTCATATCTCTTTCACCGATAGATCTCCTACACTTCTAGTGTCAAGGAGTATCGATAGATATGTTTGGTCCAATGATATAGGACCTAGTCACTTCTTTTATGATCAATAGATATATTTGACAGATTATTTGCTAAATCGCAAATAGATTATCTTTTGAACTTCCAGTTCAATCTAACTAGTACATGGATTTAAATAATGAAGATGTTTTTATTCTTATGAAATTTCTTGGCATTCCAAAAAGCTACGGAGTAGTATATTATCTCCCCCTAATGCCGAGAAACAATCTTCATTAGGAATGCAGTCAACGTACCCAATTATATGTATTGATCCCCTATCATGGGCTTTCGGTATTGAATCAATAGACTGAGATTTCTTTGATAGCCCTTTTAGAGGTACGTTGTGGTGGTGATATAAAATAGACTGCGCAAATAAAATAACGCAGATAGGGAAATGTTACTTCTGAAACCACGTACTTGGTGAAAAAAAAAGGGGGTATAGCAATCCTTGAGGGATTGATTTGTGATATGCATCGAGTTAGATTTGGGTAAAAAAAAATATATCCCCAAAACATATAATTCAGTAATTTTTCCTTCACACATGCTCTATAAAGTACTCATGTGGATAAGAAATTGTAATATCTAACTCATTATGTTTGCCCTAAGAGACCCAATTGGTCATGCCATAATTAAAAAAATGAGTCTCTAAAAATGTAAAGATTATCACAACATAATAAGTTGTCAAATGTATATGAAATTTACCACAAGTGGCATATAAAATCAGATAGGGCAAGCATACACATTGAACAAAATGATTGAAACATTCGACAATCTTAGGGAGATTAAACGCCAAATATTAGCAATTTATTTGCTTCAGGCAAACCAACATAGTGTGACTCACTTTTAGCTGTTAAGCACATAACATTTTTGCATAGTAGCATTGCATTAAAAATAGAAGTCGCAGACTTCATTCACGAGTCGTGAGTCATTAGTCACTCAAAGATCAATTCATATTCAGAATCTTTCAGACCTTTTTTTTTTTTTTTTTTTTTAAAAACCCAATGACCAAACACATTGTCAAGTAGGGAAGATTCAAAACTCAGAGAGTATGTTCTTGCAAAAGGAAACTAAGTTTTTGATATCTTTCAACAAAAAAAATCAATGATATTCAAAACACTTAGTGTAATTTGTCATGTACTACTACTGGAGTACAATGTAACTATCATAAATGTCATGCAAGATAACGAGTGACAGATAAATTAATGTTCTTAGTTTGCCTTCTGGGCAAAACTATATTAAAAAATTAGGTACTATCTTTTTGTATAAATACTCAAATTTGGTATTTATTTTAATGTCAAAGACTCATGTGAAACATTAATGCTATAATAAATTAGCGCAACCAATAAACTTGAATTTGGACAAATAACAATTGACTTTTAAATCAGTAACAAGTCAATTTTACATTTGGGGAATTTGTCCTGGTGCTGTTATCATATAATTAGTGCAGCAAATTCGCCTTCTGGGCAAAGCTATATCCAATATTTATGCTATATATCACAATGTTTAGACTCATATCATCTAATCGATATCACAAGATCAAATTAAGGTTTAGCAACGACAGGTGCAACCTAACAGTGAAAACCATATTGAGAATTCATGCTATTGTCTCACTTATATGTTACGTGATAAATCACAATAGCTATGGCCTATAGCAAATAATTAATTGCCAACAAGAGAAATAACAAATTCTCTTATATAAGCCTAATCAAAAGATTATAGGCTAAATATTATCAATTAAAGATAAGCATATTCAATATGTGATATAATTGTCCCTTATGTCTTGGACACCAAAAACTCAATTGAGTCATGCACATTCATTTTAATAAAAAGTATCATGTGTGGTACACATAATGCATGACATGAAAAAAAAATTCTATTAATTCATAAATTAGAAAATAAAATGAGAGAAGTACCGTTCGCCGAAGAATAATGAGCACATATTTGCTGCTGGGCCCATTCATTCTTATTTCAGGGAGTCAATGACAATACTTTTCCAAGCAAGCTCTCACTTTATTTCATAGTTTCATACAAGTATGAAAATATATCACAAAACAACAAGATATACAAGCTGAAAACGGCAGAAATTTTCAGAAATTTGACCTGGATTGCTGGATTTTCTGTGAAAAAATGGTAACACATTTTGACACAAGATTTTTCAGATATGTAGTTTAGCAAGTCTAGAACGTACATAAAAATTTTCATGTCAATCCAAGGTCTAGAAGTATTTTTTCAAAAAGTTTTCCCAACATTGATCCAGGCAGAAAAATAATTGACAGCACACTGCCAAAACTTTAATTTTTCTGGAATCACCAAAGCATATTTTTAACAAAATCTTTTTACAGACATCAAATAACACGAGTCTAGGTTCTCCAGAAAAAATTTCATGCCAAAAGGAGTTCAAGAAGTATTTTTCACGAATTTAATTTTCAAACTGAGCCGATAAGAATTTTCAGGCAGTGATTACCATGTGTAAAAAAAATATTCACAAGTTGTTTGCTTCAGGCAAACCAACATGATGTGAGTCAATTTTGACTT